TCCCCCCTTTCATCTCGCCCCGCCGGGGAATGCGACGAGGCGGAGAAAAAAAGGAGTAAACCAAAACAGACGCCGCCCGTTTACTTCACGCACGCGGCGTGCGACGGCGCTGCGGCCGTCCCCGGATGCAGGAGGAGGAGGAGAGAGAGAGAAAACACCGCAAAGGCAACAAGTGGGTCCGGGCCGCCACACACACACGCACGCCCAACCCGGGGGCCTGGCGCGGAACAACACGCACGGGACGGAAGAAGCAGAAGGGCGTGCGTGAAGATACCGCAAATAAAGTAAAAAAATAAAGAATCATCCACCCAACACAAAGCAGACAGGAACGCGTCATGTGTACATCGACGCCGGGCAAAACGTGGGCCTGTAGCTCACAAGTGCGGGCGGGCAGCTCGCGTGCTTCCTGCTCCCAGCGACCAGGCCCCGCGTGGCGGGCACCAAAGTCGCATCCGGGTGGCACCGAAAAAAGAAAAAAAAACAGAAAAAAAAACCGTCAAATCCCTTTAACCAACAACCGCGTCTTTGAAATAATCCAAAACAAAAAAATAAAACACAGAAATAGCTGGCCATTAAAACAAGAAACCCATGTCACGTTTTCTTTCATACCCTCTTCAGACGCCACTCAAGAACCACAAAAAAAAAAGGTAAAAAAGTACTGCAATCCCCCGCTGGGCCTCGTGCGAAGCTCACCGGCACTTACTGCGACCGCAGGCGCACACACACAGAGAGAGCCGTCACAGACGCTACCGCGAGCGCGGTTTCGCGCGCGGAGAGATTCGCAACTAGTCAGCAGCAGTAAAATCCCAAACGTTTTTTTTATACCTATAACTAGTGGGCTAGTGTTCGTCATATTGCTGCTGTTTCCGCCCCTTCCACTTTCGTCCGGCGCGTCCGGCAGAGACGGCTCAAACGACGCCAAGGCCCTTCATCGCCTCCGCGACCTTGACAAAGCCGGCGATGTTGGCGCCATTCACGTAATTCGTCTTGCCACCCTCCGTGCCGTACTTCACGCACGCGCTGTGGATGGAGTTCATGATTTCGTGGAGTTTTTTGTCCACCTCCTCCGCCGTCCAGCCCAGGCGCATGGCGTCCTGCGTCATCTCCAAGCCAGAGACGGCGACCCCGCCGGCGTTGGAGGCCTTCCCGGGGGCGAACAGGACACCGGCGTTGATGAGCTCCGTCGTCGCCTCCATCGTCGTCGGCATGTTTGCGCCCTCCACCACGGCGAGAACGCCGTTCCGGATCAGGTTCTTTGCGTCCTCAAGCTCCAGCTCGTTCTGCGTCGCGCACGGCAGCGCAATATCCGCCTTCAGGTGCCACGGTCGCTTCCCCGCGTGGTACTCTGCGCCCACCTGTTTCGCGTACTCCTCCACGGTGCCGTGCCTCGCGCCCTTGATGTCCAT